AAGAGATTTTTCAGTTCCGTTTAGAGCATTAGTAAGATTGGTCATAGCTTGTGCAGCATCTTGTAAAGCTTGATCTGCTATGTTATTAGGTGAGTTAGGAAGATTGTTGAGAATAGATAGAAGTGGAAAAAGAAGTTCAGGTTGAAGTTGAATAGCAATAGGCTGAAATTGAACAGGAATAGGTTGAAATTGAATAGGTTGATGTTGAGCAACAATAGGTTGGGGTTGAGCAACAATAAGTTGAGGTTGAACTATAATAGGTTGTTGTAGAGAAAGAGCAAGTTGAGGTGGAGGTGAAGGAAGAGGACTATTTTTAAAAGTTTGTTGAGGTAAGTCAGTAGGAGTGTGATCTGTGCTAGAGTTTTCTATAAGTTCTACAGAAGTAGTAATATATTCTTCTGTTTCTATATTATCAGTGTGTAGTAGAGGGATTTGTGAAGTCCAATCAGAAGTATAATGGCTTTCAGAAAGTTCAGTAAGTGTAACTAATTCACTATATAGAACTAAGCTATCTGCTGGGTCACGTAGGAAGAGAATATTATCGATATAAATTATATCAGTGGTAGGTAGTAAAATAGAACTTTCTAAATTTCCAAGATGTCAACTAAATTCTCCTGGTTCGTTGAAACTAAAACTTAGAGGAGTGTCAAGGTGAAGGTCAAAAGCATTTTGATATTTAAAAGGTATAGTAGAAAGTTAAAAGAGGTTGGTGTATCTTCTAACTAGAGTTAAAGCAATTGTGTAAGAATCACCAAGGTTTTGTTGGTATTAACAACTAAAAATAATATTTCTAATACAGAGGCGAATTGTAACTTGGTTTGGATATGGGGTAGTAAGAACAGTAAAGTTGTCTTGAGTTTGGGAGAAATAATATTGAGCTTCAAAGTTGGTTTGATACCAGGTCCAAAATTGTCCAAAATCTGAGTGAGGGCTGGTACATCAAGAGAAGTAACTCTGTAAACAAGATAAATCTGGATGCTGTGCTTGGAGTACATCTACTGCAAGGTAAGATCCAGTTAAATGTGCTTGTTGATAGCTTTGGATATTTTCATTGTGAAGTTCAGCAGCAGTGTGAACCATAAAGAAGTGATGTTTCTACATCCAGGACTCTGCCAGAATAACTAATACTCATCAGGGTCTCTTGCCAGGATAACTAATACTCATCTAGGTCTTTGCCGGAATAACTTTTCCAATACGTCCGGGTCTCTTGCCAGGATAACTTTTCCAATATGTCTGGGTCTCTTGCCAGGATAACTTTTCCAATACATCCAAGAATGTTTTGTCCAGGGTGACTTGTTTTTTCTAAAAATTTAACCTTTCTGCCAGAAGGCACCAAATGTTATAGATGAAAGCCTTCTTAATTTTCACACTATAATAATGACATGGCATAGGGAATCCCTTATGGGTATATGCAGTGTCCAAGAGGGAAGTATAGTTTCTGTTAGACATTGTCAAGAAACTATACCCTTCTCTGAGGCAGTTCGGGAAAGGTAATGCAATACCAATAACTTTACTTTATTTTACTAAGAGGAGATAAACCTTGCCTGTCGGAATTACCCTAGAGGGGGAATATTAATACAATTTATAGTCAAAAGCTGTTTATTAAAGTAATAACAAAAAAGGCTATCCTTAGGTTTCTGTTCCTAAAGAATCTCAAGATGTGTTTACAATATTAAAGGGAAGTGGGGTGTCTGTTGCTTAATCATACTTGGGGAATTTAGCAGGATTTATATATCTGTAAGCTAAGCAGCTAAGCGGCCAAGTAACTAAACGATTAAGTGACTAAGTGTCTAAGCAATTAAGCGACTAAGCGATTACTAAGTGACTGGAAGGTTCTAGCAACTAATGACTAATGATTACTAGTCGACTAATTACTAAGCAACTAAGCGACTAAGCGACTAAGCGACTAAGCGATTATTAATCAACCAGAATGTTCTGACAACTTCTACTAATAATAATAATACAATAATAGAATAACTAATACTAAATAATAATAATAATAAAATAATAATAACTAATAATAATAATAAAATAATAATAAATCGTTCTATAACAATAGTATAAGTAACAATTGAATAAAAAAAAAAAGCTCTATAGCTAACCCTCATGAATATTCCTCTATTTTCGTAATTATTTTGACAGTATAGAAAGCAAAAGATGTAGTTTCTGAATATGAATTTGGTTCCCTTGTACAATTCATTTTCATGGCAAACAATTTTTTTAAAGTCAGATGATATATGCGTTGTATATATGATTAACATTTCAGTAATTGATCAATCAGATTTAAAGACTGCTATGCTGTTGTAAGAAGAGTAAGCAAGAAATAATCTCAATATATGGTATTAATATACCGGTAATGATAGATATCTTGGTTCTTGCTTTATGTTTTGTATTCTTGTTTTATGTTTTATAAACTAAGTTTTTTTACACTATATGTCAATATAGTTTTAAGGTTTTATAATATGATAATTACCAGTAATATGAATTATGAAAGAGGATTAAGCATATATTTTTTTTTTATAAAATTTTTCGAGAATTTTATTTTGTAAAATTTTTTTTTTTTTTCATGAAAATTTTTTTCGTGCTTGTTTTTTTTTTTGTAAGATATAAATACTGTATATAAGTTTATAAAACTTTATTTATAAGCTTTTTTTAAGTTGTATTTCTTTTGTATACTACTAAAGTAAATATTTTACAAAAACTTAATATTTGATTATGGTACGCTTGGAAAGTATTTTTGCAACTAGACTCTAAAAAAAAAAAAAAAACTCAACAGTAGACAGCCCAGAAAAAGCTTTTTATAATTTCTTATCTTGAAAATGTTTCTGGAACTACTGTATATAGAACTGCTAATCAATTTGAAATCCAACCTAAACAAATTTAAGATTGGAAAAATAAGCAGCAAGAGTTATTATTAGCTTAGCCTCATATTAAGTGTCTTAATAGTGGTTCTCGACCAAATTATTCTAAGCTTGAAGCAGAACTTGCAGAATGAATTCAAGCTTTACATACTAATTTGAAACAAGTTAGTTGTATTATGGTGCGAACTAAAACTATAGCATTAGCAAAGTTACCAAAATATATTCTTCAATATTCTAATATTAATGAGTTTAAATAAAGTAGTAAATGGCTTGATGGTTTTTTACAACGATATAATTTTAGTAATTACTGTAAAACAACAGTTGCACAAAAATTGCCAGTAGAATTAGAAACATAGCAACAAGCATTTTTAAATTTTATTCAATATCGTTGTATTCAATATGATTATCCATTATCATTAATAGGCAATATGAATAAAACTTCTCTTGCTTTTTATATGCCGAGTAATGTAATGATTGATACTAAAGGAAACAAAACCATTAGCATTAGAATTTGTAGTTATGAAAAATCCTACTTTACTGTTATACTTGCATATATGGCAGATGGCAGAAAGTTACCACCAATGATTATTTTTAAATTAAAAAATGTTCCATGTCATGAGTTTCCACAAGATGTAATTATTAAAGCTAATGAGAAAGGATGGATGAATGAAATAGCAATGAATTTTTGAATAGAAAAATTTGGCAAAATTATACACCAAGTTCTGAGAATCCACAATCACTATTAGTAATGGATTCTTTTCAGAGTCATTTGGTTCCTTCTGTTAAAAATAAGCTGTTAGAAAAAAATACTAATATTGCAATTATTTCTGAAGGTTTAACATCAAAACTTCAACCACTCGATGTATCAATTAACAAGCCTTTTAAGATGAAGGGAGTTTTTTTTTTTTTAACATAATTAGGGTACTATAAAGTACCTTATAACATATAACCCTTTTTCTGTTAATAGATTAAACATATATATGATGAATGGATGGCACAAGAAGTAAGACAACTAACTGAAAGTAGCTGAAATAAACATTCCCCATATAATCTTATTGCAGAATGGATAAAGTACGCATGAGACACTATTGATACTAGGCTAATTCAACATTCCTTTAAATGCTGTAGTATTTCAATTGCAACTAACAGATCAGAAGAAGATTTAATTTTTGATTATAATCATGTCAAAAACAATGAAAACAATGAATATATTTTTATTAATAGTAAAAATTTGATATAATTCTAATTAACAAAACTTTTCACTCTAACAAACTTTTTTATTTCAATAAGATGAACTCCAACAAGACCTTCTACCTCAACAATATCTCTCATTCCAATATAAACACCCTCCACTTTACAATCTCCAACAGCACTTTTCATACAAACATAATCTCTCATCTCAAAAACACTTTCAGCTCCAACAAGATGTTCCATTTAACCTTTTACCTCAACAACACTTTCAGCAAGATTTCCTGTCTAACTTTTCATCTGAACAATATTTTTTGTCCTAGCAAAACTCTTTATCCCAACCATACCTCTTATCACAAGACTTCTCAGCACAAAATTTTCCAGTTCAGGAAGAATTTAAACATTATTATAATCAGAATGAGGTAGAAAATTTAAAGAATCAATGGGTTGAATAACTTGTAATAGCAGATTTCAAAGTTTAAATAAACTTACTATCCAATCTTTTATAATATACGATTTTACTTGTCTAACCCTGACCTGTAATCACTTTTCTGAGTCTTATTTAAACATTTTTTTAAAAGATTTACTTAACATGATGTTATTTTCTAAAGAATAAATTTCTGATGCTTTATGTGTATTTTTCCTTGTAAACCTTCAAGTACTATGTATCTGATCTAAGAATTATATAAATTATTTTGAAATATATTATCACCAGTGTGTTATCAAATCTTTAAATAAATCGTAGTATTTATGTAAAAGGTCTTTACTCATACCTCTCATCCTAAAGAACTAAGTTGATTACAAGAAAGATTCAAAACCAAGGTAGTATTTATATACAGAGTTTCTGTCAACACTTTCCTGCTTCAGAACCAAGTTGATTACTGGTAGTCAAGATTCTTGTAGCTATTTTTTGATTCATGAACCAATTTAAGTGCAACAAGTTGACTTAAAGTGCCGCTACCAGTTATTGTACACTTCAATTTGCAGCATATAACAATAATGATAAGTTGCAAATCTATATTCTAATTGAAAAAAAAAATTTTCAATAAAAATCACGTTATTGATTCGTACCTGAGTATCTTACAATATACTACATCCAATGACTTTGAAACATATCTGGTATAAATCAAGAGGGGTACTGATTAAGGTGAATACCTTGCATGGAAAATTATGATATGCATAGTGCTGTTAGAACTAGTATGAGAAAGTTTAGCTTTATGTTTGATCATAGTAAGGTATTTGAATAAAATGCTATCACAAGTGGAGTGTTTAAGAATGATATTATGTAATCTGTATTCAATAGTAGGAATGATTACAGTATTAGTAATATAGATAGCTTGTTTGTCTGTAATTCTTTTTGTGCCAGTGACATTGATGAGCTGGATTGCTTCATCATAAATTAGTTGGCTTTGTTTTGTATATGAATTATTAAGAGTGAACCAATATCCTAAAAATTTGAATAGTTGGTTAGCTGGAATTGGTATAAGTGATAAGCTAAAAAAGTGGATAGGAGCTGTAGATGATGTGTTTGATGTAAGGATTGATTTGGTTAAGTTAATTTGAATGTCTGCCATATAATAAAAGGAGGTAGCTGTGGCAATAATTGATTGTAATTCTTCTTTAGATTTTGCTATTCAAAGTGTGTTATCCATATATGCTAATATGGATATTGAGGTTTAAAATTGTTGAAGTTTTGGTCAGAGCAAACTAGTATTCCACTTTGTGGCCGAAGTGTATCCTGAAAAGTCTGAAGCTATTTTATTTATAAGAGGGTCATAATAAATTTTTCAGAACAATGGGGTTATA